TAAAGTTCTCTTTAACTTCAAAATTTATCTCAATGGGTATTTCTCTGATGCTTTGATGTTTGTTTGGGTATTGCTTAATTCAAGTCATCATACAGTTATATCACTTACTGCATTCCTCTATTAACAGCAAGATTAACTGTAGCATCATACCTTGGAAAATGCCAGATTCAGCCAGTGACAGCAGTAGCAGCTGTCATGTCCGAGTGCTTGCATTGTACCCTGGGCCCTAAGGGCTTTGTGAACTTGTATCTCTTTTATTCCCCTGTAACCCTGCACATAGGTATGAGGCTAGCCACTGTGTGTCTGAAGAGTTGGGCTAAGAGCTGAATCCAAAGGTGCAGGTCCTATTAGAAATGTGCTTTGACCATAAGAGATTTTTACTCTAGTCATCTTGTGCTGTGGTAGAATATGTGCTTAGCATGCAGCAGGCCCCAGTTCAGTGCTCACCCAGCACACACATGTTTCAGATTATGAGTATAAAGCATACTTGTAAAAAAATAAAGGCATAAAAGGAAAGTAGAAAAACTAATTAAATATCCATATACTTTATGTTATTTATATATCTCTATAAATAATAGATCCCTGTCACATGTGGATTCTAGCTAAAATCTGCTGTAAATCCACAGTGCTGTAGCTCAGTGGTCATGCACAGAACAATGAAGGATTTGAGTTGCCAGGCATGCAGCAAGGCAGCACTACCCTCTTTCAGTCTCAGTAAGAGATGGCTGAAGGACAGGCTGGAGCCAGTAGTTAGTGCAAGAACCTTGGGCCTGGGGCAAGTAGGGGAGTGGAGAGGGGTGGAGATTTCTACTGCTTTCTTTTTGGCACTATAAATGTTGCTTTAACTTTTCCTGGGAAGACTTGAACAAACATCTCTTCACCCCGATAGAGCATCAGTGACAGACCAAAGTAAGAGTTTCAACTACATCTAGCTGGTTAACTGGTAAGTTTATTGGGCTTAGTTACAGGATCATAGGTGAGGGATTATATTAGTGTAGGTGACCCCTAAATAGCTGCATTATGGAAAAGCCTCAGCCCAGCATGGGTGTTGACGTTCCCATTGCTGCATAGATGGAGTCCCCCCTTCAGTTAACTACACCTCCTGTATACGCTGGCACCTCGAGAGACCACATGCAGCTGGTGTAGGAGTACATGCAGCTGGGGGTATTGGGGAGCACAGGAGCAGGTGTCTGGGATCTCCCTTGAGGTTCTATTTACTGGCCCCAACCCCTCCTTCTATGAAAACTATCAGCAGCTAGACCTTGTTCAGGGGTCTCCCGAGAAGCGCTTGTGTGTAATCACAGCTGTTCTGATTAAAATGAGGGCAGTTTTTGCCGGGTGTGGTGGCGCACACCTTTAATCCCAGCACTCGGGAGGCAGAGGCAGGCAGATCTCTGTGAGTTCAAGGCCAGCCTGGTCTACATAGTGAGTTCCAGGACAGCTGGAGCTACAGGGAGACCCTGTCTCAAAAAAAAAAGAAAAAAAAAAAGACCAAAAAAATGAGGGCAGTTTTTCACATGTGTGCATACTGGGCATTCCTTTATAACCTGTTTGTTTGTTTGTTTGTTTTTGTTTTTTTTAATAATGTGAAGCCGACGTTTTCCATTACTTGAAATGCTGTGTTACTGCATGCGTTGCTGCATTTGTCATACTTTTACTTCTTGCTGAACAGAGCATAGTACAGATGATAACTTTGCTCTGATTCCATAGGGCATACTATGGAAATATTAATTTTTTTGGAGGGCCTTCTCATATATCAGTGAAGACTTCTGCAAAATTGAAACAAATGGAAGATGAGAACAAGGATGCCATGTTTGTGTTTGTATCTGATGTTTGGCTGGACCAAGTACAAGTATTGGAAAAACTTCACATAATGTTTTCAGGTAATGTTTTCTGAACTGTTCTGCGGGATGGTGTCCTAAAACTAGATGCTGTGCCGTCACAGTGGATGGCATCTGTGGTCCTTGCTACCTGGGAGCCTGAGGCAGGAGGATCTATTGCACCCATGACTTAGAGGTCAGTCTGGACAACATAAGAAGACCTTGTCTTACAAAGAAAAAACAAAGACCATCATGGTTAAAGGTTTTAATCTATTTTGATGCCTTGCTTTTAATGCCAGCACTTGGGAGGCAGGGGCTCTGTGAGTTTGAGGCTAGCTTGGTCTACATAATGAATTGTAGCACAGCCAGGACTACATAGTGAGACCCTGTCTTAAAGACTAATTAATTGGGTAATTAAATTTTATTTCCAGACTTGAAAAGTAATGTTCTTTTATTCTCTAGGTTATTCACCAGCACCTCCAACCTGCTTTATTCTGTGTGGTAATTTTTCATCTGCACCATATGGGAAAAACCAAGTTCAAGCTTTGAAAGGTACTGAGGGTCTTTTTAATAAGAGTGTTCCTAAATGTACATAAACTAAGTTGATAAGAAATTACCCATAATATTTTAATCTTAGTCAAAAGATGTAGGATGGTATTTAGTCAATTACAGCTTAATTTTATAGATAATATATATATATATATATAAAACTTAAATTTAATATCTTTTTAAAATTTTAGATTCCCTAAAAACCAAGCATTCACCAAAGGTAATGATCTATACTGCTGTTTCTTCATTCAAGAGATTTGTTTTAAAAAGTTAATCATAAGGTTCATATCAATTATTATAAAGAAATTACTACTAGAAAGAAAAAGTTGAGAGCATTAAAAGAGCTGTAAATAAAGTTCACGTGCCAGAATACATTTTCTACTATTCTATAGATTTATAGTAAAACATGTATTAAAAGGGAGAGTGGCAATTTTAACCATATTTTCTATATTTCTAGTCCAGAGCTTCACCTTCAATATGATGGTCACTAGCCTCATGTGCCTCTTTAAGGTTAAATTTTTTTTTTTTAATTTTTTTTTAATTTATTTTTTATTTTTTTGAGACGGGGTCTCCCTGTAGCCACAGCTGGCCTGGAACTCACTATGTAGATCAGGCTGGTCTTGGACTTACAGAGATCCAGCTGTCTCTGCCTCCCGAGTGCTGGGATTAAAGGCGTGCGCTCCCATGCCCGACTCAAGGTTAAATTAATAAAAGTGGGTGAGATGCTCGGTGGGTAGAGGCAGTTACCACCAAGCCTGACAACCTGAGTTTGATCCCTGGGATCACATGGTAGAAGGAAAGAACCAGCTCCCACAGTTCCTCTCTGACCTCAACACAAATGCTGTGTCATTGCACACTCAAATCCCCCCATATACATGTAAAAGTTAAATTAACTGAAGTTCAATTAAATTTGAAATTCAGCCCATCAGCTACACTAGCTACAGTTTAAGCAAGTTCAGTAACTGCACAGCACAAATACAGAACATTTGGTCCTCACAGTATTATTTATAGACAGTTTTAGACTAGAGATTTTTAGTAGTTTATTAAAATGCATAAAATTAAACTTTTTTAGCTGCACATGGTGGTACATGCCTATAATCCCAGCGCTGGGGAGGCTGAGGCAGGAGGATTGCAAATTTGAGGCCAGCCTGGACCATATAGCAAGACATAGACTAAAAAAAAAAGTTAAATCCCTGGTTCAGTTAAAGGCAGTGATTTATTTTTGGACTCCTGGACAGTGTTGCCATATTGTTGTTTTTAATGACTGATATTGAATTCTGCTGTAGTAGCCGTTTTGTGTTTGTGCCTGGTCCAGAGGATCCTGGATTTGGTTCCATCTTGCCAAGGTAAGTCTTATTCACATTTTTCCCAACAGTCAAGAAAATTCTATAAAGTTTAAAAACACATTCTGTCTCACACACATTATTTTTGTAGGCCACCACTTGCTGAAAGTATCACTAACGAATTCAGACAAAGGGTACCATTTTCAGTTTTTACAACAAATCCTTGCAGGTAATAGTATTTTTATGGTAAACTTCTTTCCTTTCATTTAAAAAACATTCTTCAAATTAATTTCTGAAATTTGTTATGGAATAAATCTAAAAAGAAAATTTGTTTGAATTTTAGGTTTGTCAAAGCTTTGAAAATATTTTAACTATATTCAAATATTTTACCAGTAGTGAATTTATTGTCTCTGTATTGGCAGCTCCACATTTCTCTCTCTGGCTCAGACCTTTCTCATGAATTCCATACTCATCGGTCCAACTGTCCGCTGGTCACTTCTCTTTGGATCTATGGTAGATAAAGGAGAACTCTAACCCCCCTCCCTGCCACGACCTCTCAGCTGTGGCCTTCCCATCTGACTTCATGGCACCTTGTCTTTCTCTTGGCAGGATAAAATGTTTCTGGAAGACATGCAGTCTTCCAGGTAGTCCTATGGACTTCAAAGTACATGCAGTTTGGCCACCTCTCTATGTCCTGGCCTCTGTGACCCTCTACCATCTTCTCTAGTCTGGATTAATGTAATAGTCTGTTCTCAATACAGTAAGATCTATCAGGTTTTCTTTCTGTGTTGACAGAAGGGGTTCCTCATGCCATTTAGTAACCACCCATATCCTTGCAGTGGTAATCAGGCCCTGCCTGCATGGCCTGGCCCATTACCCCCCTGAATTCTTCTCTCCCCCATTACTTCCTCTACACCAGTCTCCCTCTGTTCCTCAAGCGTGCTGGGAATGCTCCAGTCTTAGGGCCTGTGCTATGCCTGTTCCTTCTGCCTGCAGTGGCCCTCTTCTGGTTATCTTTCTTGCTATCCCATTTCAAGCCTGTGCCCAGATCATTCTGTCTTATGACCCCTGTCTGTTCCAATCCTGTTCAGTAGCCTTCTAAGCCCATGTGTGATCCCTCTTAATCCTTCTCTTTTTTCAATAATCATCTTCTAACACAGTGCATCATCATGTTTGTTCATTTTTTTCTGCCCCTGTCCCTTATTAGAATGTAAACTGCATGAACTTTTTCTTTTTGTTCTGTTCATTCATCCTTAGAATAGTGTTGGGCACATAGTGTTGGGCTCAGTAAAAGGAGTATAACTTAGTGGTGGGGTGCTTGCCCAGCATACGGAAGGGCCTTGGTTCATACCCTAGCACTCTGTGTCTGTGCATGTGCACATACAAGCAAAAGACCAATAAATAACTGAATAGAGGATAGATAAGACTGCCTGAAATTTTGTCGTGACCACTGAGATGCAGAGTGGGGGTGGCTTTGTATTATAAGTCTTTTTGCCTTTAAAATTATCTCATTTTTATGTCTGAGGAAGTTAAATCCAACTACTGTTTTATTTCAGAATTCAGTATTGTACACAAGAAATTATTATCTTCCGTGAAGACTTAGTAAATAAAATGTGTAGAAACTGTGTCCGTTTTCCTAGTAGCAATTTGGATATTCCTAATCATGTAAGTATTGTCTTCTTTGTTAAACTATCTTTTTTGTTTGTTTTGATGGATTTTTAAAAATTATGTATATGTATTTGTGTGAGTGTATGCACATGTATGTGTGCAGATGCCCATGGAGGCCAGAAGTGGGTATCTGTTTCCTTGGAACTGGCATTACAGGCTGTGAGCTACTAGACATGGATACTGGGATCTGAAGTCTGGTCCCTATGATAGAGCAGTAAGCTTTCTTAATTGCTAAGCCATCTCTCCAACTCTATAGATTTATGGGGTTTTATGTGTTTGTATTTGTTAAACCATCTTACATATTACAATATACAAAATTTTAAGCCTTGTAATCCGCCCTTGTGTTTTGATGTTTACTTGTGGTTTGAAGTAGTTTGAATATCCTTTCGTAGTAATTTGAATTTGGGTAATATGTCAGCACTTTTGGCTGTCTAATGAAGATCTAATGCACAGAGAATGGAGCCCAGAATTAGCAGAGAATTTCTTTGAAGCTTCTCATTTTGCCTCTAAAACTTTTTTTGGGTGGTGGTGGGGTTTGAGACAGGGTCTCCCTGTAGTCCCAGCTGGCCTGGAACTCACTATGTAGACCAGGCTGGCCTTGAACTCAGAGATCTGCCTGCCTCTGCTTCTTGAATGCTAGGAGTAAAGGCATACACCACCACCCCCGGCCTTGCCTCTAAAACTCTTAAATTGCACTTCAAAATATATTTATTTTAATAAGATGCCATTATTTCTGATGCTTATTACACATTTCATATGGTGTCTGCACATCAGTAGGATATACATTGTTTATCTTGTACAGAGTCATAATTCCCCAACATATAGTTGTTAATTCCTGGCTACAAGTACCCCATTTGAAGGTAAGGAAGTAGGCCATATAGAACATTTTTATTCTTTATTTTATAAAAAATGTTTTGGCTTTTTTGAGACAAGGTCTTACTATGTAGCACAGATTGATTGACCACTGATTTATCTTATACTACGTAATTATTTTTATTTTATTATATATGTATGATGTGGGAGGGGTGTATGTGTGCTATAGCACATATATGCAGGTCAGAGGACAACTTTGGAGTTAGTTCTCTCCTTCCACCTCTATGTGGGTCCCATGGATCAAATTCATATAGTCAGGTTTGCATTGTGGGGTGGCAAGCTCTATACTCATTAAGCCACCCCATCAGTCCTACGAAATTATAATTGTGATTTTTTTTTTTTTTTTTTTTTTTAAGAGACAGGTCTTGCTAAGTTACCCAGGCTGGCCCAAACTCATAGGCTCAAGCAGTCTTCTTGCCTTAGCCTCCTGTGTAGCTGGGACTATAGGCATGTACCTCCATGCTTAGCACTAGAAATTTTTTTTTTTTGTTTTTGAGACAGGGTCTCCCTGTAACCCCAACTGGCCTGGAACTCACTATGTAGACCAGTCTGGCCTGGATCTCACTGAGATCTACCCTCTTCTGCCTCCTGAATGCTGGAATTAAAGGCATGTGCCACCTTGCCTGGCTTAGAAAATTATTTTCATCATTTGTTTTTGTTTTTGTTTCGGGGGGGACTTTTTGAGAAAGGGTCTCCCTGTAGCCCCAGCTGGCCCAAACTTGCTATTTAGACCAGGCTGGACTTGAACCAGAGATCCTCTTGCCTCTGGCTTTAGTGTGCTGGGATCAAAGGCATGTGCCACCATGCCCAGCCCAGCTTTATTTGGGGTGTTTTTTTTTCGTTTTTTTTTTGAGACAAGGTCTTACATTATAGCCTAGGCTGGCCTTGACTTTGTGGCAATACTGCCTCAGCCTCCTGAGTGCTAGGATTACAGATTATCACACTTGGCTGAAATTATTTTTAGATGAATAGAATTAGTAAATGAGTTTATTGTATAGCTGATGTACAGTTGTAGTGAGAGGGTCACTGTTATGGTACATGATGTTAAATGAAAACTCTGATTTATTAAAATCTAAATTTATGATAATTTAATTTTAAAAAATATTTTATTATTTTTATTTTATGTGTATGTGTGTATTGCCTACATGTAAGTAAGTGCACCCATGTCATGCAATGCCCGAGGACAGAAGAAGGTGTTGGATCCCCTGGAACTGGAGTTATGAACAGTTGTTAGCTGCCACATGGGTGCTGGGATTTGAACCCGGGTCTTCTGCAAGAAGAGTCAGTGTTCTTAACTGCTGAGCCATCTCTCCAGCCCCATGATAATTAATTTCATTTTATATCAGTGTTTACCAAAGCCTCTTTGATTCAAGACTTCCTTGTTTTTTTTTGTTTGTTTGTTTTTTTTGTCTCTTTTGAGACAGGGTCTCCCTGTAGCCCCAGCTGGCCCAGAACTCACTATGGAGACCAGGCTGGCCTCAAACTCACAGAGATTTGCCTGCCTCTGCCTCCTGAGTGCTGGGACTAAAGGTGTGCACCATCACTCCAGGCAAGATTTCCTTGTTTTTCATTGTAATCAGTACTTAACTTTAAATTACTTGTTTTACTATTTTTACTTTCACAAATGAATTGGTTTGCTTTATTTTGTGTTCTGTTGTAGTTTGTAAAGACTATCTTATCTCAGGGACATCTGACTCCTCTACCTCTTTATGTCTGTCCAGTCTACTGGGCATACGACTATGCTTTGAGAGTGTATCCTGTGCCTGATCTGCTGGTCATTGCAGACAAGTATGATCCTTTCACCATAACCAACACTGAATGTCTCTGCATCAACCCTGTAAGAATTCAGAGCATGTTTCTAGAAGTTTAATATATATGTGAATACAGTTATTGGAATAAAAATATATGATTAATCAAATTGAATTAATTTTTTATACATAGAAAAGTCTTAAAATTTCAGTATGTGATGTGACTATAAAGTAATGCAATTTATTTAATAACAAACATACCCAAACATATAAAACCAAATGGGTATTTTTTTCTCTTCAAAGCAGTAAAGTAACAGCAGGGTGTGTTGGCGCACGCCTTTAGGCCCAGCACTTGGGAGGCAGAGGCAGGCGGATCTCTGTGCGTTCATGGCCAGCCTGGTCTACATAGTGAGTACCAGGCCAGCTGGGCTACAGGAAAATCTGTCTCAAAAAACAAACAAAAAACCACAAAGTAGTAAAATAACATACTGTGAGATTTCTTTCTGGGAATTGCTTTCAGATCCTGTATCCCATTTATTTAACCTTATTAACAGTACTTGTCATTTGAGGAGGATTGTAATATGCAGAAACTGCCCAAGTGCCCAAATCCAAGCCTGATAAATCGAATTTCATTGTGAAACATTATTATTTAATTTTTATGTAGAACCTTGAAATCAGTCTAGAACGTTTAGGTCACTTCAGTTTTTATAGAAGTGATTGAAGCTAGGCATGGTAGTGTACATCTTTAATCCCAGCATTCAGGATTAAGGCAGACAGAGCTCTGTGGAATCAAGGCCACCTTGATCCACATAACAAGTTCCAGGCCTGCTGGGGCTACAGGGAGACCCTGTCTTGAAAAAAAGAAAAAAAATATAGCTTTTTTTTTTTTTAAACGTGTGAGTGTTATGCCCGCATGTATGTAAGTGCACCCGTGTTGTGCAGTGCCTGTGGAAGACAGAAGAGGATTTTGGATCCCCCCTAGAACAGGAGTTATGGATGGTTGTTAGCCATCATGTGGATGCTGGGATTTGAACCTGGGTCTTCTGCAAGAACAGCTAGTGCTCTTAACCACTGAGCCATCTCTCCAGCCCTCATCTCTTCTTGTTACTGATTTACAGTTAACAAGTGCTTGCTCTGGGCCAGGCATTGATTTAGGGGCTGTGGACACAGACTGAAAAGCCAGAGCCTCTGCCCAGTACCTTTGAGTTTCAGAGTAGACAATCATTTGTACTTCCTGCTCAGTGGCTCTGGGTACACACTAGAGGACCACCAACCAGACTTCATCAAGGGGAAAGGCAGGGAAGACTTTCTGAACATATCTGAGTGTCTTCTCTATATATTTAGCATTATACTGTCCTGCTTGTTTTTTATGAGTGGAGGCATACCCAAACCTATTTTTTTTAATTTTATTTATTATTTTTATTTTATGTGTATGCATGTATTGCCTGCATGTAGGTAAGTGCACCCGTGTCATGCAATGCCCATGGAAGACAGAAGAGGCTGTCGGATCCCCTGGGACTGGAGTTACAGACAGTTGTTAGCTGCCATGTGGGTGCTGGGATTCAAACCCCGTGTCTTCTGCTCTTCTGCAAGAACAATCAGTGTTCTTAACTGCTGAGCCATCTCTCCAGTCCCACCCAAACCTATTTCTAGTCATGTCTGATGGCATAAAGCTCATCAACCTAAAAGATTTTTTTGGTTGTGATATTTTATAACACCTCTATAATGTATTAGGCTGGGCGTGGTAGTGCACGCCTTAGATCCCAGTACTTGGGAGGCAGAGGCAGTGTGATTGCAAAGCCAACCTGGTATACATAGTGAGTTCTAGGCCAACTGGGGCTATAGGGAGACTCTGTCTCAAAAAAGACCAAAAAAGAAAAAGAACATACTAAATCTATTTTATAGTCACATCTTACAAGTCATGACTAAGAAATTTAATTCTAAAACTAGGGATTTTTTAAATACACAAGTTGAATAATCACTTATGGGCATTTTTTGTCTCCAAAGGGCTCTTTTCCAAGGAGTGGATTTTCATTCAAGGTTTTTTACCCTTCCAGTAAGACAGTAGAAGACAGGTAAGTGTGCCCACAAAGACAGCAGGGGGCTTTCTCTTGGTTTTCTATTGCTGAAAATCACATTTGATAGGTATATTTAGGCTTTTCCTTTTTCCTATGTCATGTCATGGCATTCTATGTCATGCTGGATGGTGTGTTTCTGTTGAAACTGATCAAGAACTTGAGTGAAATTTCAGACCTGCTATGCAGGTGGGCTGGTTCTTATAGGTTGACTCCCGAGGATGTTTTTATTCTTCCCAGATGTCGGTCCTGCCGTCCACATGGCTGATTCTCAGAGCCTAGATAGATTGGCAGCAAAGCAGTGAGAGGCTAGATGAGTGTGTATTGATGGTGTTGAAAGGTCTGAGGAAAGAAAAAGATCACGTGCTGAGAGGTTTATGACAGATGAGCCCTAGCTCACCTACAACAGTATCCTGTGGTTTTTATGAAAAAATGTTGAGTTTCAGGATCTTACTTCAAGCTCATTATGGTTCTGTACATGCAGAACCTAGGCATATGGATTGAAAAAAAAAAAAAATAGAGTGTCATGTATCCCAGGCTGGCCCTGAATTTGCTATGTAGCTGAGGGTACACTTGAATTTCTGATCACCCTGCCTTAACCTTCCAAATGCTGAGATTATACATGTACACCACCATGCCTGGTATATGTGGTTCTGGTCAAGCAAGCACTCTGCCTACTTAGCTACATCCTCCATAAATTTTTTTTTTGTGTGTGGGGGGTCTTTTTGTGACAGGTGTTCTCCCTGTAGCCTCAGGCTGACTTGGAACTCACTATATAGACCAAGTTGGCCTTGAACTCACAGAGATCCACCTGCCTTTGCCTCCCAAATGCTGGGATTAAAGGTGTGTGCCACCCATAAATTTTATGTCATCAGTGTTTTGCCTGCACTTCGAATATGTAAGTGCACCTGTGTCATATAATACCTGTGGAGGCCAGAAGGCATCTGATCCCCTGGAACTGGAGTTAAGGATGGTTGTTAGCTGCTGTGTGGCTGCTGGGAACTGAACCCAGGTCCTCTGCAAGAGCAGCCAGTTCTCTTAACTGCTGAGCCATCTCTCCAGCCCCAGGAATATGCATTTTTAAGTTTCCCTTGGATTTAGGCAACCTAACGTGATTTCTCAAATAAGTATTTTGGAAAACTACCTCTGATTAAAAAACAAATGACCAATGCCTAGCATAGTGGCACACAATACTTGGGGGATGCCTGGAATGAGGACTGCAAGTTCTAGACCATCCTGAGCTATATAGTGAGACTCTGTTTCAGGAAACAAAAAGGTGAGTCTGGTGAGACAGACTTAATCCTAGCACTTAGGAAGCAGAGGCAAGTTTGAGGCTAGCCTGGTCTACACAGTTTCAGCTAGGACTATATAACAAGGCTAAAAAGAACAGCAAAAACTAAAGCCAGGCATGGTGGCTCAAGCCTATAATCCCAGCACTTGGGAGGCTAAGGCAGGAGGATCACCGTAACGGTTACAGATTCTTAGAAGTCATTTAGATACCTAACCTTCCAAGTTTCTAGCAGGGATTTCTGAACCCAAGTACTTGGTTCCTTTATCTTCTGTGGCCTCAGGTGCTCAAAAACCTTGACATAATTTCCAAACTAAAATTTAGTATTGGTAACTTTAGGCTTTGGGGAGGTGGATCAAACATTGATGTGTTAAGTTTTTGAGAGAACAGAACTTTTTCAAGATAAATATTAAGTGACCAGGCATAGTAGTACATGCCAGCACTTAGGAGGCAGATCTCTTTGAGTTTGAGGACAGTCTAGTCTACATAGTGTTTGCATTCAAAGCTAGCCAGAGCTACTTAAAAAAAAAAAAAAACCACACACACACACACACACACACACACAAAAACACAAAAAAAATTAAGTGCTCTCTACTCTCCTAGTGTTTTTGCTACTTTCTCCTAAGAAGAAACCCTTTTTCTCCCATTTCTGTTAGCAGAAACCCTTTGTTAGAATACTTGTGAAATCATATTGCAGAGTTAAATTATAGAATTTAAAGTTGGTTAGTCCTGGTTCAACATGGACTTTCTTTTTTCTGTATGTGTGTGTTTTTTTTTGTTGTTGTTTTTGTCTTTTTGAGACAAGGTCTCCCTGTAGCCCCAGCTGGCATGGAACTTGCTATGTAGAGCAGGTTGGCCTTGAATTCACAGAGATCTGCCTGTCTCTGCCTCCCAAGAGCTGGGATTAAAGGTGTGTGCCACACCTAGCTAACAGCTTTTCTTTTTGACACTTGAGACTCATTGGTTGAATAAGTTGTGATAAAATATGTTTTCCTTTCAAAACAGCAGTAAACATGAATGACCCTCAACATTATGTGTAAGATTCTGTTGTGAATGTAACATATACAAGGGAAGAAAACAGTAAGGAAGTATCTTCAGCTGGGAAGATACCAGTAAGGGCTTCCCTTCCCCTTAAGGAGGCTTTTACTTTGGTAGGAAAGATA